TTTTTCCAGGAATTTTGGTTGCATGATATTTTTTTCTTTGGCTCAACCCTTGCACGTAGTTATCTTTTTGCGTACAGTTAGATTTTTCAGTTTTCTTTGGAAGTGCTTGCTCGATATTTTTTTTGAGATTTACGCAACCCCCATCAACTATCTATTGGTCCGTCCCTAAGTTCGTATACATCGGAGTGAGTGAAATTCAATATCTCATTCGTAAGTTTGGTTCTCCTAATATAGAAAACTGAGAATCATTAAACAAGCCATCTTTAGCTCTACAAGGCCGTAGGACACCATCTGGCTAGTGTTCTGGTTTTAATGAAAGACGTCCGGTTAACAAAAAAAAAAAAAAAAAAAAAGGAAAAAATGGAAAAGTCTTTATCTGATCTTCACCTTTTTACGAGAGGAAAAATGGTTCTGATGTCCTACTCTAGATATTTATTCTTTCGAAAATTACGCAAAATTCCTGTTTGGCATTGTTTCAAATGATTTTAAAATAATTGAAAACGTTCTGTTGGTAAACTATTTAAAATGGTAAGCTTAAAAATAATAACGGTTCGTACGTCATGAATTGCATTGCTGGTTCCTTCTGCCGATATGACTTTTGAATACAAGACATACATAATTCAAGAGATGGTTAAAATTGGTTAGCGTTCTTGAGGGGAATATAGTTAAGACGACATCTGGCATGCAAAATCGATCAGTCAAACGTTTTTATAACGTACTCGCWGCCATTCGAAAATCATAGACTACCATACTCTTCCTTCTTAAAATACTGAGCAGCTCTGGTAAAAAAGGTTGTTAATGTTCGATTGACGAAAAACCAGTTACTTCGATGGAAATGAGAAAGGTAAAACAGCCGGGTTTTTTTTCTTCAAGTTTGTATTAATRAATTCGCCATGAACCTTTTTGTTTTTGTTAGACGATAACTCACGTTTACAGTTCTAATAACAAAAACGAAGTCTTCCTTCTGTTCTTAAAACGAATAACTTCGTGTTCATGGGAAACTCTTTTTGTCATTTTATGTTTCAAAGACACATTTCTTGACTAAAATATATTATTAGGCAGTTAAGAATATATTATTTCCTCCTCCCGTTATGATTACTAAGTTTCATATCATGCAAGGTAAACAAAAACGCTTAACCGTCCTCATATATGTTGCTATTTCCGCACACCTGTACGTTTTTATTTTTYATTTTCACAGAGTAAGCTTAAAAGTCGGTAAAATTGAGTTGGGGAAATCAGTTTAGTTTTGTCAAGTGACAGAGATGTGATCACACATGGTGACTTGTACTAGGTTATGAGAACTTGATGAAGTTCAAGGACTTTAGTATTTCAGTTTTATTTCCACTTCCTTTACGATCCTTAAGCATGTATTGTATAACAAGTATAAAAATACGATAAAATTATACTAAGTTAATCAGTTTGATTTCAACTTCCTTGAATTTTTTTCAAGCATATACTATATATTGTAAATTAGTATGGACTTTATTATTTAGTACGTACTTAATTTATGTGGTAAAACGGAGAAGCAAAGAGTTGAGGTTGGTGATATTGCAACTCACTCCAAATTCAAACAGCGTGAATTAGTGAAAACGAACGAGCTTTCCTATTTTTCAAGCTTGTAGAAAGCAGAAAACGATTTGAAAAGGCAAAAGCAAAATGTATTAAAACTATTTACTATTATTTATTAACCCCGGTTAATTTAATGTTTAATATATTATGTGTTTATCGGTATATTTGAAGCTAAATGAGATTTTCTATATATATTGTTGTCATAGTTACTCCATTATTGCAGTGCTTATCAATGAGTATCGTTTGAATCATTGATTAACATATATATATATATATACATCCCAACCCGCCCATATGAATTTTACAGCATACTCACTATTTTTGTCCCAGTTAAAAATGTTTTTTGCCTGTCTTACGTTAAAAATTATATGAGACAAACAGTTGCTAGGTTTGAGTGCCATAATTATGAGACAACTTTCAATAAAAACTGTTGCTTGCTATACTTTTATTTATTTATTTATATATTTTTTTAATCTAAAAGTCGTTATCTTTTGAGATAACGCGGAGAATAACTTTTTGCTTCGATGATTTTATGTACGGTATTTGTGATGGTTGTATACATTTAAGCGAAGCTTTTAATTTGCAATTGGATTTTACTTTTTACAAAGTGTTTCTTTCCTCATAAGTGATCAGCTTACATTACGTGTCACAGTCAAAAAAGAACTTCTTTGTCAATTTGGTATGGAAAAAAAGAAAGTTTTTTTACTTTCATATTAAACTGACTAATGATGTTTTAAGATTTAAAAAAAAAGTTTACACTAGCCTTGTACAGGAAAAAAACAACAAACAAACAAACCTCCAGCCAATGTAATATTCTCGAATATTGTAATTTTACAATTTTTATGATCACCTTTTTCAATATGTATAGAAAAAATAAAGCAGTTTATTATCTTTTCTCATTTTTTCATACTTTTTTATAACTCCTTCTCTAAATTTGTATTCAAAAAAAAAAAAAAAGTTAGATACATAGATTTTTTTACTTTCTCGATTTGTATAGAATAAAGATCAAAACAGTTTCTCATTTGAAGGTTATTACTGCTAGTTGTGTATTACAGCCGGAAAATTTTACGAGTAATAATTGTCAATCGGTCCAAGTCAAGTGTTAATTGTACGACACGAAAAAACAATTTTTTACAATTTTTTAATTGTAAAAAAGCAAACTTGAAAGTCTCGACGAGCTCAAACCACTGACGCGAGCCTCACAAAGGAAAAGGAGAAAATTTCTTTGCGCTAACATCAGCAAAAACTCGTTCAAAACCGGCTCACAGACCTGTATTATCGCTCTGTAATTGCACTCGAAAAATGTATGGTCGTAGAAAATTGAGTGTGTTGTATAATAACTTTTCTTATTTCTTTCATACTTTTTTATATATACCTCCTTCTCTAAATTTGTATAGAAAAAAGAGAGTTATTTAATATAAAGACTCGAACCTTCAGAAATATAAACTGACGTGTTTTTTTTTTTAGCCGAGCTTCGAAATTGGATATCAAAAAAGGATCTTTCCATACGACACTTTTGAATATTTTATAACTCCGCCTTCTCTCAATTTGTATGAAAACAAACGCTTCTTATTTAGATTCATTTCTCATTTAAATAATTTACAATACAACACAGTCTTTTTTGAGGAAATAACAGTATTTATTTTTTATTATTTGAATTTGATAACAAGGAGAAGTTTCTTACTATTTCCAATGCAATTTTGATAAACATGAAATTTGGTCTAGCTGCCGCCAGTCAAAAATATGAAGGTACTGACTGATTAGGTTTGATTGACGGCAGCAAGAATTTTTCATGCATTTTGATGAAAATTGCACGCGGTAAATGAAATATTATTTTGCTTCTTCGCAGGTGTTAAAGGTGAAGGCTTTTGCAGGGCTCGTTGCAATTGTTCTTCATCTAACTTTGGCAAAAGGTAAGTCCATTTTTTTCTTTAAAGTTAATAGTTAAAACATTTACTAACTTAACTTAGAAACGTTACAAATTTCTTATCTACCCTAACACCTGCCTTATTTTCTTATCCTTTACAACATTCAACTGCTTAGTGCTTCTCTTTTGCAATTATATCTATATGTATGTACACCTATTTCAATGAACTTTGTCATCGCCAAAGGATTAATTATATATCGTGTTGTTGTTGCGTTGCTACTTCTGCTGCAGTTGCTGTCTTTGTTTTTTTGTTGTTGTTCCCGTTGTTGCTGTTGCTGTTGTTGTTGCCGTTGCCGTTGTTGCTGTTGTTGTTGCTGTTGTTGTTGTTGCTGTTGTCGTTGTTGTTGTTGCTGTTGTCGTTGTTGCTGTTGTCGTTGTTGCTGTTGT